CAGAACAGCCCTTCTACCCTTGCCTATGTCGTTGGTGCCAACATGCACCACGACAACTGGAGCTGACACACACAGGTGTGCACACAGGTGCTCACGGACGCGTGCTCACGGACACACACTGTCTTGATCGGCTGTTGCTTCTGGGCATGTGTTGTGTTGTAATGCTGTTTGTGCGTGCTGTTCAACAACATTTAACATTTGGTGGTCGTTGTGATTAGTACAGATGTTGTATGTTGTCTTTCTCTTTTCAGCAGACATGGAAGCAGATTATCTGTTTTTTTTTTTTTTCTTTTCTCTCCTCTCTCTCTCCCTCTCTCTCTTTCCCCCTTCTTCTCCTTTGTTTCCCCGTCTTCCTGACCTGTCTACCCACTATAATGTGATGTTTGTATATGTATGGTCAGGTTGACGGCCAGTTTTTGCTGGTACTTGTGACTAGTGACATGGTGTATTGCAACAGCAATAAAGGATTTCATCAATCAATCAATCACTTCCGATTGAAACTGCAGGCGGCATTACTCGGACAAAATTGGAAATTTGAGAATGCATTGCCTGAGGGGAGGAGTGAGCCAGGCCAGCTCGTCCCCTGCCCACACGCAGTGCCCCAAAATTAGTATAAAGGAAGGGGGAGATCTCAGTACTGACTGGAGTTCAGCCGTGGGATAGAGCACACATCGCCCGGCACTTTCAAGGGACTCATGTGTTGGTCTCCTGCCAGGACTGAAACGGGCTTCCCAGTACATGTGCAAGGTGGGTGATGATGGCACGTCTGAGTGTGAATAGCTTTGCAGATTCAATCAATTGTCACAATAACCATAATATCAATTTGCACTTTCTGTACAGTATATGCATGTTTCATTGTCACTTTTTTAAATATATACCTATAATCTATTGTATTCTTTAATGATATATATAATTATTGGATATCACTTGTGATATGGGATTATTTTGCATTGCCTATGATCCAATATTTTGGTATTGATTTTAATGCAAGGTTATTTTGTATTACTTCTAATAAATAGTTTTTAGAAGCAAACCTAAGTGTGCCTGTTTGTTCCTTCGAGAGCCCTGTATCCCCCTCACATCATCTTAAAACATGGGCATACAGCAACTCTTAATTATAACGGACTTTGTATATAATGGATTGTTTTGCCAGGTCCCTATGAAGTCCGATTTTACTGTATATTACAGGGTAATATAAACAAAATTTGCAGTTAGGTACAAATCTCAGTTTTGGGTTCATGGTTCAGTGCAGTTTTGGTTAGCATAGAAAACTGAATTTGTTTTGAAATGATATTTTATTAAAACTGCAAACATAATTTGGAGCAGTTGTAATAAAAAATATTTGTTGATGCACCTGAATAATGAAATACTATATTAGCACACTGTAAAAATAATCAAAATCAAAACTAAAAATAACACTTCATCATAACAATCATAATGAACAAAATCCAATTTAAATTCAGTGTTCTCTACTACAAAGTATGGTTGCGTATATGTAGCAATAAACACCCTGTCTGTTGTAGTTCTTTTTCAGCCAGGTCATAATTTCCTGGCAAAAACGCCTCCCTTAATTGCCTTGAGGAGACTAACTTGCAGAGGCTGTTTCTCCCTTGCTCCTGGCGTACATACAATCACATGATATCATCTCAAATGAGTTAGCATACTGGATGCATTTGCAGCAGCATATCCGAGTTCAGTATAACAGAGCTGACAGACAGTCTTGGTCTTATTATGACAGAGTTGGAGTAATTTATTGGGCAACCAAAATGTTCCCAAACTGCCTGTAACTAGCATTAGCCTTAATTAACCAACTGAATTTAGGTTCTGCCCGTGTTAAGAAATGTATACATTCATTCCATTATGTGCACACCAGGGTTGCCAACTCTCACGCATTTCAGACACTCACGCTATCAGACTCTTATGTAAGAAATTTTTCAGCAAATGCATAATATTCCACTATAACCATAAACTTAGTCACATCAAGCGTTGGGGTAGTTTGCAAACCTTTTAGACTATTTACACAGTAATAAAACCCTTACATACATGTAAACGTGTGTGCAGGCTTCTCTTGAATTGAAAATCTCATGCCGGCCAGCTGACCAAAGTTGGCATCCCGGGTATCGAACTGAAAGGACAAATGCATGTGCCATTATAGCCGTAATATATGTTAAACTTGGCATTTGGTGCAGGCCCTGGCGCTTTTCAGAGCAGGCAAATGCTTGATGGGTGAGTCACTTACCCAATGGATGGTGAGCATAATCTGGCCTAGAAATGTGTCCAGACACAAGTCAGTATGGGGTCTAAGAGGAGGAAAATGAAGATTTAAAAAAAAAAAGAAATTACAGGAAATTACCAATACACACAAGAAGGGCTAGCTGAAATACACATTGTCATTCTGTAGTCAAACCCGAGCATTAATGCCTACTCCCCTTAATAATTCTACATGTTTTGGTGAGGAAGAAAATTTCCCTGTCCTATTATATCATTAAAACAAACAAGCATGACCCTGGTAAAGTTGGCTAGGTTCAGGATCAGAACCTTGAGATTGCAGACATTGGACTTTATTATTGAGGGTTGCATTTCAGGCAGGCAGGTAACGTTCTCCTGGCATCCACCAAACTCAGACTCATCCATCAGACTGTCAGACAGAAAAGCGCGATTTGTCACTCCACATAACACGTTTCCACTACTCCAGAGTCCAGTGGCAGCATGCTTTACATCACTCCATCCAACGCTTGGCATTGGGCTTGGTGATATGAGGCTTGCATGCAGCTCCTCAGCCATGGAAGCCCATTCCATGAAGATCCTGGCGCACAATTTTTGTGCCAGAGGAAGTTTGGAACTCTGCAGTTACTGCATCAACAAAGCGTTGGTGACATTTATGCATTATGCGCCTCAGCACTCGGCAACCCCCCTGCTCTGTTACTTCATGTGGTCTGACAGCTCATAGCTGAGTTTCTGTTGTTCCACAACGCTTCCACTTTGCAATAATTCCATTTACAGTTGACCATGGAATATCTTGCAGGGAAGAATTTTCAAGTGCTGACTTATTGCAAAGGTGGCATCCTATGACAATACCATGAATTTAATGAGCTCGATAGAACAACCCATTCTGTCACAAATGCTTGTAAACCTGACTGCCTGTTAGGTCTGAATGAAACACCTGAATTCAATGATTAAGAGGTGTACTTTCAATACCATATAGTGTAGGGAAAAAAATTACAATACCATACTCATTCTGATGTCTCTGCACTTCCATTACATTTATAATAGACTCTGTTGCAGTGAAGACCCCAGTGAATTCACGTTGCAGTATTAATAACTGTACCCTTTATAAGTTTCTGTAAGAAGCATAATCATAACATCTTTTAAAATTGTTCTTCCCAGGAAACTGCTTCAAACATCCAAAATTCTGGAGAAGAAAAGGTTGAAGAGACAAATTAAGAGGTTTTAAGCCCAGAACCCTATATTAAACATCCATTACAGAACAGGTGATGTATAAAATCTGGTCAGTCTTGTCTGACAAAACATAGAAGATATTCAATATTCATTCATATTTCTGCACCGGCTCCTTTTTCACTTGCGATTGAAAGCTCTGGCTCCTGTCTATTTAACAATGATGATTAATGTGGACAATTCAGACAATTAAGTAATTATACAAGTGATCAAGCATACATTTTAAAATGCATACGTTGTAATCAGTTGCTTGTAGTATATTTACACATTTTTGTTACACATTTTTGTTTTGTTTAAAATATTAAAATCAGCCAACACACTGTATGCTTTGAGATACAATCTTTTTCAGGTAACAGATTAAATTGCATTTCCCACAGTTTGTATGTCTACATTTAATTATGACTAAAGGGGTCGTCGATTGTAAAATTTGACAGAAGGGCTCTGCGCCTTGAAGAAATACAGCGCGCCACGCTGAAGCCACTCCTAAGTACGGTCAACCGCCTGTATAGTAACTACTGAACAGAATTTTTCTGAAAAGTTTTCAAGAGAATATCTTAACAAGTATACACGACAAGTATTCACTGTATTTGTTAATATGGCCATATCCTTTTGACAAATCAGTTTGAATCAGTAGTAGAAGTGATACTGTATCTTAGCTTTGAAACAAAATGTTTTATTTATTTAGTTTTAGGGAGCAGCTGTCCCTAAAAACTACATATCCCATCAACCACAGAGAGCGCAATTTATGAGCATGCGTAGACCACTCTCCAGACACTTAGCCATCACGTTGCAAAGTTCGGTCCAATCGGGTCTTACTTTTCCAGCTGAGGCTTTTGAATTAGATTGAAATAAAATGGCGACCGCGGAACCGGTGAGTGTGTGTGGTGCTGTGGAACATTGGTCACTATGGTCCGTTTACAGTTTATTTCTGGCTCGTCGGTCGTATTTTTCGGGTTGTATGGATGGGGGTATCGCGTGTTTTCTCCAGTTTTGCGATAATTTGGCTCCTGGCAGCGAAAGACATCGGGAATGTTTTTGGAGGTGCGGCGATTTCCTTCGTTATGGGAAGGAGCCCCAGACGTGAGTCAGGCATCGCTGTCATGGCTGGTGACGGAGCTCGCGGACGAGAGCAGTAGCACTTGTAGTAATGGTGGTGTAATACTGAAGTAACACTGGTAGTAACAGTAGCGGCGTTGGCACTTCTCGACCACGCGGTACTAGCTGTCAGCGCTGCGTGCTTTTAAGTTCAGCTGTCATGTGTAATGATTGATGACCAAGTGTCAGTGCTTGATACTAAGCGGGGACACGTCGTCTTCGTTTATTTGCTTTAATGCTCTGGGATTGTTTAGTGGCATTAGCGGCTATAACCGCCGGCAACTTGATGTTGTAAGAGTCGCCGCACTTTCAGCACATGGGACGGTAATGGGGATCGCATTAACATTAATTTGAACACTGTTAACCAACTTTGACTTAAAGCTCACAATCGTTAATATATTTCTCATTTCCAAAATGTACCAGCTCAACACTGTAAAGCTCATTTTATACTAGTACATCGCCCATATACGTACTTATTGGTGGTATTTGGAAATAAGCCTGTCTGCATCTTCATACCGAATAACATCAGAAAAGTAAACGTTAGTTTTTTACAATTGTTGTGTGAGTGAGGAATAGTAATAAACTGCCTTGTTTGTTCAATATAATCAGGCCACAAGCAATAGTTTTAATTATGTACCAGACTGTTTAGAGAAAATGAACTCTGTGTTGTATCTTGCATAAATGGGAGACATGCTTTCACAGGGAGCAGAGGTGAGTGCACTTTTCAGGAAGCATCAGTTACAAGCTGCCTGAACCTTCTTGTTTAATTCATGTGATTAAGGAGAGTGCAATAAACTTGCCCCTTATTATTAGTCAGCTCTGGTTAGCTACCTCCTGGCCTCAGTTTGAGGGCTGAGATTATCACCTAATATCTTCTGGTCTTTTACAATTTATATTCTTCCCACTCGTTGAACCACAGGTTCTGAAGAGTGTTTTTAAAATATACATGCCAGGTCTTTTTAGGTCGCTCCCATGAATTGATAGTCACGGGAGAACCAAGGCTTTGAAGCTTACAGTGCGTTGTAGTGCACTGTCCAGTGCCTGGCTGATATTAACGAACAAAGGAGTGGTCTGTGGGTTTAGTGGCTTATTGGAAGTGCACAATAAGCCCATCCACTGGAGTTCGGAGTCTCGTTTTCCCTTTTGCAGTGAAGACCCCAGTGAAGTCACGTTGCAGTATTAATAACCGTAAGTTTCTGTAAGAAGCATCATAATCATAACATCTTTTAAAATTGTTCTTCCCAGGAAACTGCTTCAAACATCCAAAGTTCTGGAGAAGAAAATGTTGAAGAGACAAATCAAGAGGTTTTAAGTCCAGAACCCTACATTAAACATCCATTACAGAACAGGTGATGTGTAAAATCTTATCAGTCTTGTCTGACAAAACATAGATCTTCAATATTCATTCATATATCTGCATCGGCTGCTGGATCTGTGCTGACTTCTCCATGTTAATGGAGGTTTTTTTTTAATTCAAACATGACTGGATGCATCTCACATGAATTTGCAGCTTGCTAGTATAATAAAGGTGTTAATTATATTGTTTTATACATATTTATTCCAGCAGTCCTTGCACTTACATGCACTCCTACCCTTTTTTGACATTCATCAACCACACATGCACTTTGTATATATCAACCGCATTGTATGTGTCTAGTTTTAACTGTATATCTGCAGCGTGTATGAGAGCCAGTGACAACTGGTGACAAATTCCCTGCATGTATGAACATACTCAGCCTATAAACCTGACTCTGATCTTGAATTATTCCAGTGCAATATTATGATCTTTTGGCGCAGTGTTCTGTGGATTTTTGTGTTTATATTTACATAATTCTTAAATGTGCAATACATTGTTTATTACTACTTTTATATTCAGTGTATGACTAGACATCAAATGATTGTTAAATATCTTTTCTCTTTTACAGGTGGTCTCTTTGGTTTTTCAAAAATGACAAAAGCAAAACATGGCAAGCCAACCAGCGTCTAATCTCGAAATTTGACACTGTTGAAGATTTTTGGGCGTAAGAAGCTTCCTTTTTTATTGCTCGGATTTTAGAGCTTGTGTATTTTCCTGTCAGTACCACTTTAAATGCTCGATTTGCTTCCAGGTGCTTCTATTGTATATTGTACCCTGAATACATTTCAAGGGATATTTTGCTTATCACCAAGTGTTATCATATACATTCAAAGTCACATGGTCTGCACCACTTCCCGTGGTTAGATCCCATGATTATGTAGAAGGCTATCGATGGTGGAATGTTCACTAGGAACTAACTGGTAAGACAAAAGCCAGCACACAAAATAAACTAAAATTGGGAATTGTGAAGTAACTGAATCGCAGAATCAAATTAACTCTGTAACTGAATTGCCATGTCAGTTAAAAACATAGTGCTCATTGTTTATGCTTTGAATTTGAGTTAGAAGTATGACCTGGTTCATAAGTGTAATGTTAATGCATCTCTTTGTATGTGTTTTTTTATTTTTTTGGGGGGGGGGGGGTTGTACAGGCTTTATAATCATATTCAACTTTCAAGCAACCTGATGTCTGGTTGTGACTACTCCCTTTTTAAGGTAGGGATGCTGTTTATTTCTATGCATATTCATTTTAATACTTAAATGTTTAATGTCATCAGGTCAAAATTACTTTTCCGCTCTTAGAAATAGGACTGCATGAAAATTGGAGTGAAGGAATCCTAAAGCTGAGTCACTCCTAAGGATATCCCATACAGTATGGAGGTGTGGTTGAAACTGGCTAGGAGCTTGGGTGGAACCACATAATTGTCTCCTGTCCTTCAGCTAATGCAAGTAAAGGTCTCTTTCGGTTTCAAGGAATAGGGTTAGGGTTGAAATGGGCTAGAAGCTCTGATGGAACCACATCATTGCCTTTTACCCCTCAGCTACGCACCCCAACTGATGTTCATGTCTGATAGGCTTAAGGAGAACATTTAAGGTTTAGTTTTGGCGTGTCGAGGTTGTTTTGGGTTTCAGGGTAATGTGGCTCCAAGTAGGTGCTACTATAACTTTAAGCCTTTTGCAGATCATGCATTTTAATGCGGGTATTTTTGTATTTAGCTCTGCTGAATAGGCATATGAACCTTTTATAGTATGTAGCTGACACCTTGAGTACATAAGAGGAAACAGTTTGCTGCATTAGTTAGTCCAGCATAATAGTCATTGATTAGGAAATATTTTGTGGTTAGGTTTTGCAGTGCCCAGAACTAATGTACTATCCAGTCGTAAGTTCAATAAATTCCACCTAAACACACATCTTTGTGTTGAGCTTTCCTTGCTTATTTCTTAATTACTTTAGACATTTGATAGCCACCGAGTCATACAAGAATGATTCCATGATTTATACATGATTTGTATTGTGATAACCTTCCTGTGCTCCTGGGGAAATGTTTTTTGGTGCCAGCGGGCACCTGTATATGGATGCTATGACAGTAAAGTGTGTGGCTCAGTAGGCTAAGCCTGTGTGCTTGTAATCACAAGGTCCCTGGTTCAAACCCAGCCTCAGCATGTCTGCGGGTCCTTGAGCAAGGCCCTTAACCCCCAGAAACCCCCTGTTCTAGAAAGAGCAAGTTGGAGGCATAAAAAGAATTTCCCCATGAGGGACAATAAAGGTTAAATTAATTAAAGCCCATTTGATGTTTCATGTATATATGTTTTTTCTTTTACATTATTTCCTCAGAGTAGTGAATTGTATTAATTACATAAATTTACAAATGAGAGGGGGCCATTCGGCCCATCAAGCTCGTTTGGGGAGAACTTAACTAATAGCTCAGAG